GGCCGCCGCTGCTCCTGCAGCCGCCGTGGGGAACTCCGGCGCCGGCTCCGAGGCCCCAGCGCAATAACGGGCGCTGCGCCCGCGGCTCCCCAGCCCGCTGAGTACACGGCGTCCGGATCGAATGCGTGCGGCGGGCCTAGCAACCACTGCGAGGGGGCGCCCTCCCAGTGGGTAATTCGAGAAGCGCAGCCGGCCGCCCCGTCTCCCACGCTGCCTTGCCGTGCTCCGTCTGCTGCCTGCCTAGTTCCTGTATTCAAGTGCGTTCCAAGATCACTAATAATCTGATCTCATCGTTTAAGTCTCTATGCATAACCTTAAAATATTTTTTATCAGAAATTGCTTTTGTTTTTTTTCTGATTTCTGCTGTGTAAAAACTTAGGCACTTATGACAATTGCAAATATTTGTTTAATTGTCTGATTAATAGCCCCTCTAGAGTTCCTTACCTGTCTAGTACTTTTTTGTATTCCTAACTCTTAGCCCAGGGCCGGGCACATAGTGAGTGCTTAATAAATACCTGTGGAATGAATGGCTAAATACGGAAAGGTATAAAGAAGAAAGGGAAATAAAACTAATGATAACTGCTGTGAACATGTTGATATTATCTCCTGCCAGATACTTTTCTAGTGAAATTTTAGAAATTTCACAACTCTTATTTTAGAAATAAATATGACAGTGATATTTATTGAGTGATTTATCTCATTCCATCTTCACACCAACAGGAGGCAGGTTTCATAGCTCTATTTTACAGATCATAAAACTGAGGCTTATAGATATAGGCTTGCCCAAAAGATTTGTAAGGTGGCTCCTCTTGGCAAAGGGCATCTATATTTCAGGTCTCCTGCGGGTTTGTGGTCTGCTGAGTTACTCTGTGTAGTAAAAGGGGAGAGGAATTTGAAGGATCCGGCAGGTGAGAGGGAGGGAGGGCACAGGTGGAAGCTGCCCAGCACTGTGGGAGGGAAGGAGACAGCTTCCAGTAGGAGAGTGTCTAGCCGGGGCTGTTGAATAGTTTGCTGTAGGGTGTGCAACCTAACTCCCTCCCTGTGCCCCACAGAGTTCCTCGGTGAAGCCTCCTTGGGCTGGAATGGTGTGAGTGACTAAATTCTCCCATGGAACTGGAGGGAGGGCTGAGTCTTAGTCCAGGTGAGCCCTAGGCAAACACAGACCACAGGTGCAGGCAGACCAGACACAGGGACATGCCGACATCTGGGTATGCATGTGGGTCTATTTACATGTTTCCTAACAAGAGTAGACTCCTTATTTATTGCTCCTTTTTCTCCCTCAATGCTAGGTTGTGAACATGTTTCTGTGGTCAAGAGCCACTTGTTATTTGTAATGCCTGCTTTGACGTGCCATTTGGGGACATAATAATAGGAGCTGATATTTACAGGGCATTCCCTTTATGCCATGCAGTTGTTTTACAGGCATTATCTCTGTTAATTCTCATCACAACCCTCTTATTGCACCCACTTCATACACAGGGAGACTGAGGCAGGTTAAGGGACTTTCCCAAGGTTACACAGTTAGTAAGTGGCAGAGCCAGGATTTGTTCCAGATCTGGGTATATACTGGCCCCTCAAGTGTCCTGTCCCTAAATCTTGACTCTTCAGTTTTTGAGGCCCCTGAAAATTCAGATTCCCTTAGGAGAGTAAAGGCATTCAGTTTACCAGCTGCTAGGACCTCTGCACGGAGTAGGTTTCAAGTTTATGAGGCCTGAGCAGGGGAGCAACACAGGCAGCGTCTCATAAGGTGGTGGGGGAATGAAAAAAAAGAAATGGTCCTGAAACCCATCATTGAGTGTTTTATCCTTTGGCCTCTGTGCTACAAATTTTGGAAAATACAAGATCTAGAAGATATTATTTTGGTTTGAAATGCTGGCTCCTTTGGTCGACTTGAGAAAACTCCTGTGGCTTTTGTCAAAGGACAAAATTGCACCTGAAAATCTGATCGTGGGAAACTCAGGCAGGAACAAAGAGTCTGAGCTAGTCTGTCCAAGCCCCCCCCCCCCCAAAAAAAACCTGCACTACTTATGGCTCTGTGGCCTTGGGCAAGTTATTTAACTTCTCTCAGCCTCTGTAATTTGTGTCTGCCCAGCAGAAATCCCCCTTCTTTGCATGAGCATCTTGATTTGTCTTCAGGGGACAAGCCCACCCTATTCTCAGTTCATGAGAATAACCCTCCCCACTCCCCTGGCTTCAAGAATGGATACATGACGAGATCTGGCCAATCAGCATATTCCATCCCTTTAGCCTCATTGACTGGTTTAGGGACAAACACGTGACCCAAGCCAGGCCAATGAGATACTAATCTGGGCCTTTATAGTAACCATAAAAAAGAGAATTTCTCTTTTCCAAGGAGTTGTTGAGCTGGTAGCATGTAAGCCTTTCTGGGCATTAATTTTTTTTTTTTTTTCCTGAGGAAGATTCACCCTGAGCTAACATCTGTGCCAATCTTCCTCTATTTTATGTACATGGGTTGCTGCCACAGCATGGCCACTGATGAGTGGTGTAGATCCACGCCTGGGAACTGAACCTGGGCCACCAAAGCAAAGCATGCCAAACTTAATCACTAGGCCACTGGGGCTGGCCCCTGGTCATTCATTCTTATGGCAAATATTTATTAAAATTCTATTGTGTGCCAAATATTGCACTAGGAGTTGGGGGAACGGCCTGCCTTCAGAGGGCTGTCTAATGGGGTAGGAAAAGAGAAAACAGAAATTTCTCAAGTAGTCATTATTCCTTACCAATATAAACTGTGAAGTGTGCTATGAGTGAGAAGTGTAGGGGGCAGTGAGAGATTATGAAGGCAAAGCTAGTCAGGAAGGCTTCTCTGAAGAAATGACATTTGAGCTCTGAAGGGGGAGGAGGCGTCACTTCCAGTAGCTTTAGGAAGGCAGGCGCCCTGGGTGGCCTCAGCAAGGAGATGTGCGTCACATCATTCATGGTTTTTGCTTGGTCCTTAATCACCTCCTTCAACCATCACACAAAGCTGTTCAAATTTTATTGAAGAGTTTGGAATAGCAGAAGAGAATTAAATATAGGAGGAAAAAAATGAAATTGTACCCTCAATGTTACAGTATCCAAGAGGAAGAATAACCCTTCACAGGGGACTCTTCACTGTCCAGTTCCAAGTCTTGCTTCCCTGTCGTGAAGCCTGCCCTCCCTTCTTTCATGTGGACAAACCTCTCCTCTCCAAGTTCTGAGGGACAAAATCCCCACCTCTATTAGAAAAATCCCTCTCCTTGCCCACAAGGATTGGGTTTTTCTCCTTTTCCCTCTACTAGAGTAATCCACAGGATTCAATAACCCACAGGATGCAAAAGATATCTTCAAGACAGTGAAAAGACAACTCAGAGAATGGGAGAAAATATTCATAAATCATATATCTGATAAGGGATTGTAGCTAGAACATATAAAGAGCACTTCTAACTCAATAATAAAAAGATAAATAACCCAATTTAAAAGTGAGCAAAAGATTTGAACACACATTTCTCCAAAGATATACAAATGTCCAATAAGTACATGAAAAGATACTCAACATCATTAACCATTAGAAAAATGCAAATCAAAATTACACCCACTAGGATGGCTAGCATCAAGAAGTCAGATAATAACAGGTGTTAGCAAGGATGTGGAGAAATTGGAACCCTCTACACTGCTAGCAGGAATGGAAAGTGGAAAACAGTTTGGCAATTCCTCAAAAAATTAAACATGGCATACTGGTTAAGTTCATGTGCTCCACTTCAGTGGCCCAGGTTCGTGGGTTCGGATCCCAGGTGCAGACTTACACCACTCCTCAGCCATGCTGTGGCAACGACCCACATATAAAGTAGAGGAAGATTGGCACAGATGTTAGCTCAGGGCTAATCTTCCTCAAGCAAAAAAAAAAAGAGGAAGATTGGCAACAGATGTTACTTCAGGGTGAATCTTCCTCAGGAAAAAAAGAAAGAGAAAAAATTAAACATGGGGTTACAATATAACCCAGTAATTCTACTCCGAGGTATATATCCAAGATAAATGAAAACATATGTCCCCACAAAAACTTATGTACAAATGTTCACAGCAGCATTCCTCATAATAGTCAAAAGGTGAAAAGAACCCAAATGTCAACTGATGAATGGTTAAACAAAATGTGGTACATCCATACAATGGAATATTATTTGGCAATAAAAAGGATGAAGCACTGACACATGCTACAACATGGATGAACCTTAAAAACATTACGCTAAGTGAAAGGAGTTAGACGCAAAAGGCAACATATTATATGATTTCATTTACATGAAATGTCCAGAACAGAGAAACTCATAAAGACAGAAGATAGATTATTGGTTGCCTGGAGCTGGGAAGGACGTTTGGAGGGAACATGGAGTGACTACTAATAAGTACAGGGTTTCTTTTCGGGGGTGATGAAAATGTTCTAAAATTGATTGTGGTAATGGTTGCACAATTCTGTGAAAATACTAAAAAAAATGAATTATACACTTTAAATGGGTGTATTGTATGGTATGTGAATTATATCGCAATAAAACTATTACCCCGCAAAAGGGGTGCCTCCATCTCACCATGGTGCTTCAGGGTGTGGCAGCAGAAGAGAGGTTGCTGGGAAGAATACTCCAGCTCTTACATGCACTAGCCCAGTCATAGGTACGTGGCTGTTGCCAGCTTCAAGGAAGTGGGTGTCATCCTCCCACAGGCTCAGAGAAGTCTGGAGTACCGCACTAGCCACACATGCCACAGGAGGGAAATGGTTCTCAAGTGTTGACTGCTCAGATCCCCTGTCCACAGGAGACCATGTCCATGGGGGTTGTAGAGCAGTTTTAGGTTCACAGCAAAATTGAGCAG